AAAAAAAAGTACGTGGTAAGCTTTTGAAATTTAAAAATAATACGTGGCAGGCAAATGAGGGAAATGAAAATGAAAATAAAAATGACATGAAATTCATTTTCCCCAAATTTCAATCGGCAGCCTCTTCTTTCTCTTGCCCTAAGCACTCGAAAAAAAAGCCTCCACCTGAAGCAAAATCAGCCGGCGCACTCACCATCATCGCCGACTGATGCCAACGAAGTTGTGCATACTTTTAGTGATATAGATTTTTTTAGATATTGAAAATTCTTCCCTGCAAATCTCGGCTATCTTTATATATTTGCATAATTTCATATACCCTCAATATTGACAGCTGTTGATGCTGTGGGAAAATGTATAAATGATAAAGATGGTCACTATGCTTTTGCCATTGGCGAGAATTTGACTTCTAGTTGTAAGTATACTTACAATACTTAAGGGCGTGATTGGAGATGGCCTAAATGATAATTCTGATTGATACTTTTTAGGAGTTCTTTTAGAGCATGCTCATTGAACATCTTTGCTATGATATCTTGTGCACTCTACTGTACGGTCTCTCACATTGTCTCTTACATTCATTTTTTTGAGTGGAAATGCTTATGTTAGGTTAGATTTTTGTTGTTCGCGCGTTAGATTAGGTTCTCTTCAGTTAACTACGTAGTCACCCCTCCACTTCAGCAAACTAACTTTGATGTGGTAATTTGTAACTCTTATTGTAGTACAAGAGGTGAATAACCTGAAGCAAGCATGGACATTGCTATTAAAGAACAAAATCTGCCACCCTTTCATCTATGTCTAACATTGTAATGACAGTGGATACTTCAATTGGGTGAGAGTTGAAGCTTTAGACGAGGAATCGAGTTTTATTAATCATGCGGTAAATCATGTACCTAATGAGAAAGACAAAGAGTTGCCAAGACTAGTTGACTGGCTAGCTCGAATTAGCTAGAAACGAGGCGTTAACATATAAGTGCACATGACTCTCAACAAGGGAAAAGGAATTATCGAATGTGACGGGAAAAGAAAGGGGTCGAATTGAACGGGTGATTTCAATTATGTCTTTAAATTTCAATTTGTATAATGATATATTGGTTTTATTCCAATATGAAGGATATGCCTGAGGAAATACACGAAAATGACTCTTCCACTGTAGTAAAATTTGACATTGGCCTTTGACCCATTAAATGAATTAAAAAAAAAAAAACAAAGTAAGTTAAAAAAAAAAAAAACAAAGTAAGTTAAAAAAAAAAAAAACTTCACAGTAAAAGGCCATTTTACCCTCAGACTGTTTGAAAATCTCAACCGACCGACCGACACTGACTCCAAAAACTTGACCGACCGACGATCGACACCGACATCCACCACCGGCAACGACCATCATCTACACCGGAAATAAAATAACCGGTTAGTTTTCATCACTTTTCTCCAGTTAATGCAGTTCATGTGCAAGTTTATAGCATTTTTCTTACTAATTTCGGTTTAATTAGATCCATGAGCATGAGTAGTTAGATTGTGGGCATGTAGGAGTGTGAAAAATGTGGATTATTAAGTTTTTTTGAAGCTCAGTGGCCGGGAATGGCGATTTCCGGCCATTCCCGGCCACGGTCGGTTTAACAGTCGGTAACAGTCAGGTAAACCGACTATTACATAGTCTGGGCCGACTGTTAACAGTCGGCTCAGACGTGGCCGCCTGTTAACGGCCCAGACTATATTTAATTTTAAATTTTTTATTTGATTAAATAGTAATTATATTATTTATTTATTTAATTTTTTATCATTGTCAATATAATATAATAATTGAAATATTGTAAAATTAACAATGTTAATTCTTTTATTTTTATGAAATTATCTGTAATTTATTTTTTCAAATTTATTTAAATAATATGAATAGTCTTTACATTTTTAAAAAAGGTAAAGTAATTATTTATTTATTTTTTATATTTGTCTTTTATATAATTTAATAATTGAAATATTCTAAAATTAACAATGTTGATTCTTTTTTTTTTATGAAATAATCTTTAATTTATTTTTTCAAATTTATTTAAATAATATAAATGGACTTTACATTTTTTCAAAAAATGCAAAGTAATTATTTATTTAATTTTTATATTTGTCTTTTATATAATTTAATAATTGAAATATTCTAAAATTAACAATTTTGTGTTGTTCCTTTTTTTTTTTATGAAATAATCTTTAATTTATTTTTTCAAATTTATTTAAATAATATAAATGGACTTACATTTTTTGAAAAAATGTAAAGTAATTATTTATTTAATTTTTATATTTGTCTTTTATATAATTTAGTAATTGAAATATTCTAAAATTAACAATTTTGTGTTGTTCCTTTTTTTTTATGAAATAATCTTTAATTTATTTTTTCAAATTTATTTAAATAATATAAATAATCTTTACATTTTTCGAAAATGTATTTAATTTGAAATTTTTTGTTTGTAAATATATTTTTCAAATGGGTAATGGGCACAAAATGTCCCTACCTTTCAAGTCTATTGTGGAGAACGTCCCTACATTTCATTTTTTGGCATTTTTGTCCTCATTTCAACCTTTCTTTACGCTGGACGTCCTTCCGTCCATATTCCGTCAGTTTTTCCGTTAAATATTCGGGTAATTAGCACAAAATGTCCCTACCTTTTTAGTCTATTGTGGAAAACGTCCCTACTTTTCATTTTTTGGCATTTTGGCCCTCATTTCAGCCTTTCTTTGCGCTGGACGTCCTTCCGTCCATATTCCATCAGTTTTTCCGTTAATTAAATACAAAAATACCTTTTTCTTTCCATAAACAAGGATAAAATTGTCCTCACCCCCTTCACCCCTTTTTCCCGCCATCAACTTAGTCCATAAGTAACAGTAGCAGTAATATGAATCTGAAAATACTTTAAATGATTAAGTTAAATAAAGAAAAAATATCGTGAACACATTATATTCCACAATTCCACAACTACTGTTACTGTCATCTTGTGTCACTGGAAAATTTTAGAAAGATATATTAAATGGGTAGTCAATTTATAATGAGTCAACTTAAAATGAGCCATTCATCTTCTCCATTGAGCCAAAAAGAGCCGTTCACCATTTTGGCTCATTATAAATTGACTATCCATTTAATATGTCTTTCTAAAATTTTCCAGTGACACAAGATGACAGCAACAGTAGTTGTGGAATTGTGAAATATTATGTGTTCACGATATTTTTTCTTTATTTAAATTAATCATTTAAAGTATTTTCAGATTCATGTCGCTGCTACTGTTACTTATGGACTAAGTTGATGGCGGGAAAAAGGGGTGAAGGGGGTGAGGACAATTTTATCCTTGTTTATGGAAAGAAAAAGGTATTTTTGTATTTAATTAACGGAAAAATTGACGGAATATGGACGGAAGGACGTCCAGCGCAAAGAAAGGTTGAAATGAGGGCAAAAATGCCAAAAAATGAAAGGTAGGGACGTTTTGCACAATAGACTTGAAAAGTAGGGACGTTTTGTGCCAATTACCCTTTAATTAACGGAAAAACTAACGGAATATGGACGGAAGGACGTCCAGCGCGAAGAAAGGTTGAAATGAGGGCAAAAATGCCAAAAAATGAAAGGTATGGACGTTTTCCACAATAGACTTGAAAGGTAAGGACGTTTTGTGCCAATTACCCTTTTTCAAATAATAATTATTTTGTTTAATTATTTAATTTTTATAATTTCCTTTTTTATATAATTTAATAATTGAATACATAATATTGTTTGAAATTAACAATTTGTTTTGTTCCTTTTATTGTTCTTTAATGAAAATCTTTGATTTTTTTAATTTATTTAAATAATATTTATATTCTTTAATGTTTTTGACAATACATTTAATTTGATTTGTTGTTTTTTGTAAATATATTTTTCAAATGTAATATTTGTGATTGTATGGTAGTTAGAGTTCGGTTCTCTTGATTTTGTGAGATTATGCTTTTTTTTTTGTTATCTCTTGTTCAATACTATAACATTTGAATTTTTGCAGGATGGAGTATCATTTAGATGCAGAGTTGAGACGGATGTCGGGGAAAGCTACTTGGAACAGTAGCTTTGAGAGTTTTACTGCTATGTTGGAGCTGCTCGATGATCAGCACGGAGATATGCTATGACAGTCCTTCTTGTGGCCACTGTACCAATTGCGAGGGGTGCAGTAGGACAGATCATTGATGCACTTCTATGTCGGCTTCTGAGGCTAGTCGACGGCGATTCCCTCCAATTCAACCTCGGGGGCAAGGTCGTCAGTTTCTCGATGTTTGAGTTTACATTGATCACTGAACTAAGGATTACGGGCGACGATGCAGCCATGGAGAGAAGCAATAGGCTGTACGAGACGTACTTCCAAGGATATGGGTCGGTGCTTCTACCTGACTTGATGGTCGCGATCAGGGGGTGCGACCATATGCTAGATAGATTGAAGTTTAGGCTGGTCTACATCCTCGAGAGTGTGATGAGGTGTCATCACAAGAAGACTGCCATCGACATTTTTCATTTGCAAGTTGTTGACAACATCGATGTGTTCAACAACTATCCGTGGCGCCGAAGATGCTACGAAGACACCTTACATGTGTTCACCAGATCGCACTCGAGGCTCAGGGGGTCGATGCGTAAATACGATACATATGGATTGCCGTTAGCGGTGCAGGTAAATGTTTAATATAATCAAAGTTAAAGTTTTAGTGTATTACATTGATGTTTAATAAGTGTATGTGTTACAGATTTGGGTGTATGAGACAATTCCTGTACTGGGGGCCCGCTTTGCGCAGCGAGGGGAGACACGTTGCCCTCTGATGCATCATTGGAGATCATCGCGAGCGGAGGGATGTCCCACTGGGAAGTAGTTATCAGCCCTCCTCGACGATCCTCAGGTAAGTATTATACATTTGTGATTTATATTATACGTAGTTTAAAATTTTGTTTACATGATCGTTAAGTAGTTGAAATGTTAATATGTCAACTTGAAGTCATACCTGAGTTGATGCCATCGATGGAAGAGGAGGCTTGGGGTCTTGTGCAGAATTTAGGCATTCCGCACACCCCAGACGAGGAGATGTCTGATCCGAGTTTAGACCGAGATTGGGTATGTGAATGAAATAAAATTTATTGAATATCATCAACGTATAAATTTAATGAATAATTTATTGAATAATTTTTCATTTTATTTATGTAGGAGGGCGGTCCAGCTGATCGACGATTACCTTTGCCGAGGGCATCGCCGCCACCATTGGCATCACCTCCGCCAAGAGTATCGTCCCCGCCATTGGCATCACCTCCATCGAGGGCATCACCGTCGCTAGTGGCATCACCTCCACCGGGGCCATCACCGCCGCCATTGGCATCACCTCCATCCAAACAGTTCCCCCGTGTGTCTCCGGGGCACAGTGATGATTTGTATGTCCGTTTGACTGGATTTATAGCGGAGGAGGTCGACGTGCTACGACGAGATTTGACGAAGAGGGTCGATCATCTGGGACGAGAGTTGACAAAGAGGGTCGACGATCTGGCAGGGAGGGTTGACTATCTGACAAGGAGGGTCGACGATATGGGACGAGAGTTGACAGGGAGGGTTGACGATCTATCCCATGATGTTGGAATACTACAGTCTTTCGTTGTCGACCTTCAGGATACAGTAGCGGCGCTTAGAGGAGATTTAGCCGGCAGACGATGGGGGGACAGAGGGGATGGCGGAGATCATGATCGAGAGGGTGGCAGAGATCGTGATAGAGAGGGGGGTCACCCACATTTTTGGCGTGATGAGACATTGGAGTCATTGTGGTTATCTATGGAGGGGGTGGCCCCGATGGGGATAGGAGAGGGGACTACGGAGGGGGTGGCCCCGACGGAAGGGGCGGAGAAGGTGGCGACGTAGGGGGTGGCCCCGACGGGAGGGGCGGAGGTGGTGGCCCCGGAGGTCGAGAGGACGCCCGGCATGATTGAGGGTAAGAGACATGCAATTGACGAGATGGAGCAGGTGGTCGAAGAGGTTGAGAGTGCCATCACAGTATGTTGTTTCCTCCTTCACAGCTGAGACCAAGAGAAGGACGTTCATCGATGGGACGTACCCGAACTTATTCAGAGAGGTGGACAATGCCAAGTGGAAAGCATTCGAGACAGAGTGGAGGAGAATTATCTCCAGGTAAGTATTGTATGATTTTAATAAAGCACTGTACGCTAACTCGTCTAAACTTATTTTAACATTTCCCTCTTTTTTACAGAGTTAGTCGCACGATAGGACAAAGGACGGTTTCGGACCCTTACAAGTGGTTCCACGACTGCGGGAGCTTGGCTTGTTGACGATGCAAGTGAACTATTCATTTCGTGTTTTTTTATGTATATGTGACATTGTGTTTATTAAATGAATAACTCATACTTTTTTCGTGTTTCCTGCTGCAGCACATTGACCTGGCCATGGACTTGTTGCGAAATCGAGCTCAAAGACATCCAAAATCATTTGATGTCCATGGTTGAGTCATATTAAACACCGAGTTCTTGGGTGCCGTTACCATAGAGTATCAGTCGCTCAAACTTATGGGTAACGAGTACACAGTGCCAGAATATATGCTCGAGTGGGTGATAGGACTGTCACCGAGTGTCGGGGGAAAATCATGGGAGGGTTGTACACATATGTACATTCCAGCGTGCATCAATAAACACTATGTTACGTTGGAGATCGTTTTTACTGACTCGACTATATATGTGTACGACCCAGATCATTCATGTTTGACACAAGGCCAGTTGGAGCAAAACCTGGAGTCCATGGCTGTAATTGTTCCTATGATGGCCAGAGGAGCGGGGATAAATGTACAGGACAGATTGCGGATCGTTCAGAACACGACGACAGCGCAACAGTCCATAAGGTAAGTGTTGTTTGAACTTCGTTGTTTTCATCTTTCAGATTTAGTTTTTATTTACACAGTACTGAACTGATTCATTCTTGTTCAATTGCAGCGGCGACTGCGGCATATTTGCCATTAAGTACGTTGAATTTTTAAGTATAGGACATAAAGTTGATGGAATCAACCAATCGTGGATACAGAACTGGAGAAAGAAGCTAGCATGTAATTTGTTCGAATTTAATGCTGACCCGTAAATTTCATTTATATATATATGTAACATTTCAATTGTAAATTTAATTATTTTTGTAATTATGAAATAATTGTAAATTTGTGTTCAATGTATATAACATTTCAATTGTAAATTTAATTATTTTTGTAATTATGAAATAATTGTAAATTTGTGTTCAATGTATATAACATTCAAATTGAAAATTTAATTATTTTGGTAATTATGAAATAATTGTAAATTTGTGTTCAATGTATATATAACATTCAAATTGAAAATTTAATTATTTTTTGTTATTTTACCCGTATGCCGAGTATCGAACTATTTTTTTCATATGAATTATTATAAATACCATTTATAGAGAATAAATATTGAATATGGAATATTTATAAATAACAAATATTGAACAGTGTAAAGTAAAAGGAAATATTATTCATTTCACGTACCTGTCTAATCGTCATTTAGGAAAATTTGACTGGTACAAAATTGCCGAGTATGCCCTATGGCTCTGCACCGGCTACACCTACGCGATCGAGGAAACTCTCCGGTAGATGGTATTCTAGATGTACTTGGACGTCTAGGACCACACGGTTCAACTGCTGGTGGTAACAAATTATGAAATGGGAGAATGTACTCGGGAACTTCCCACTCGGCTTCATTCAGCAGAGGAAATATAGTCTCGACATATGCTGTCTTCCAAGATTCAGTCGTATAATACAAAGAGCATAACATTCTCGCAGCAAAGTCTCGATACATGGCCACCGCAACTGCATGCTCACATGGAAACTCTCCAATTGAAATCTCGTACAAGTGCATGTGTTATCAGTCAAATCCACCATATATGCCGTATTACGTGCACATTGTACGGAGAAGTGAAACTCATCTAGTGCTTCCACATTCAACTTCCTCGTAACCTCTGCCGCCTTAAACAGTTTCTCCTCTTGAGCTGGGGCCAACACGCTAGTGCAACTCTGTGATGCCGCACGTCGGTTATGAAACCACTGTTGTAACTTGTTACGAATGTTCTCAATCATTACGAGAATTGGTAACTCTCAATCCTTCTTAAACAATGCATTGAGAGACTCCGCGTTATTCGACGTCATCATGTTGTATCGACGTCCTGGAAAGTATGACCGCGCCCAATGTTCGATCCCCATCTTCGTCAGATACTCCAACGCCAGTAATGATTTACTTCCTATCTCGAGCATGAACTTATTTCACTCTTCAGCACTGTAAGCTTCGGCTGCTCTCCTGAACAATGAAACGATGCCTGTGCCCCGATACCTAGTCTTCAAATTACCTTGTATATGGTACATGCAATACCCGTGATGTGCCTCGGGAAAAACTTCAGCGATACCGTTTATTATAGACTGTCCTCGATCGGTTACAAAGGCAAGGTTTTCGACTTCCCCGATCACTTTCCTCAGTTTAGAAAAGAACCAACGCGTGGACAGATCATTCTCGCTGTCGACTATGCCGAATGCAATAGGGTAAATTTGGATGTTGGCATCTTGACATGTAGCAATAATTAATTTGCCTTGATATTTAGCTTTCAGAGTTGTACCATCAACTAGAATTACGGGTCGCATTGCATTTCGAAAACCCCAAATACATTGTCCGAGAGTCATGAAGAAATACTTAAAACAATTATCTCCCCCCGTCTCAATAAAAAATGTCGTGCCAGGATTAGTTGTCCCCATGTTATGGCAATACCTAGCCAATTTAGCATAGCTCTCTTCAGCCGATCACATTAAATCCTCCAACGCACATTTTTTGGCCTTCCACGCTTTCTGATAGCTCATGACCACTCCGTACTCTCGACGGACGTCGTTAATGATATCCGAAGGTCTGTAGATCATCTGTGGATCCTGATACTTGTGCATTATCTGTCGACCAATAAACCATGCTCGAGCTTGCTTGTGATCGTTTCGAAGAATTCCCACTTCGCAAGTATGTTCCTGTAAATACTTGTGAAGTACGAAGAACTCATTCGTGTCCATCTTAGTTGCTCTCAAGCGCCAATTGCAACTGTTTTCGACGTAAGCAACTGTCAACAATGACTTGTTTGATTTCTTTACGTTGAACTCAAAGTTATATTTTAATGTCAGCCGGTGCACAGCTTCCTGCAAATCTTTCTTGGTTTCAAACAGTTGCTCGACTTGCAAGTCCTCATCATCGGGAGCCACACGGGAAGAATTGGAGGACGGTCCACTTGTTTCAACCTGTGAGCTCCCACCAGGTTTGTGTCTCTGTCGGGATAAAGCAATCAAATTCTCATTTGTAAACTCGTTTATGTTCTCATTGTCTTCAACTGTCGACGAAATTCTGCGCGTAACAGTGACATCACGATCAGAAGCAACTCTCTCAGGAATACCTACATCATCCGCTAGAACTATCTCCACTGTCTCCCAAAAACCTCGATCATTGTTATCCGCTCTATTTGAATCTTCGCGTTCACCTTCGATAACATCCTTCGTAATTAAAGTCACACCATGAACAGTCCGAGTCCGATGCATTTTATCCAATTTTAATAGATAATTCAATTTAGCATCATTAGTAACGAATACCGGTGGCATCGGAATGGATGAATCCCCATAACTGTTGAATAGATATCTCAATTGCATATCATATTGAGATTTATCGACATTCAACTTATTTTGCAAATCGTGGTACATTTCTAAGTATGGTGTACTCTCTGTTACGGGAATTGCAATACAACCACGTATGTCACTCGTCTATCTCCATTTCCACCGATTATTTTCATTCAATTTGAAATCACAGAAATAACACACGGGATTATCATATTTGCATGAGGAAATGGTTTTAATCAACTTCAAATATTAATTATAAGAAAAAGGCCAACAAAAATCAACTGCAGTCGGACTGTTTCCGACTGTTTGTTAAGCCAAAACACCCAGTTTGGCGTAGGAGAATACTGTTCTAAAGTTATACATCTATTTAATTTTTTTTTATAGGTAAGATCTGTTAAAAAAAAAATCTATGTCAACATAAAATTTCTCTATTTAAACGTATACTAATTTACTCAAAACAAAATTAAACATGCGTAAATGTACTTACCGATTTGAAGTAATTGATGTAAAAAAAATTTCCAGTTTCAACATTCCAAAGTTCTTCTAGATTTTGAGGTTCAAGCAGATGAAAAGATGAGAGTTTTTCCTGTGTTGGAAGCTCGTTTTGAAGTTTTTATAAGTGGGGAAATGTTTGGTTTTCAATTATTAACTAAAATGGTAGTATAGTCCTTTCAATAATATATTATTTTGTAATTGTACAAAACATTTAAGGACATCTTTGTCTTTTACCATACAAAAGGCCAATGTCATAATATTCATGATTTTGAAAGTCAAAGTAAAATTTAGCTCCTTTGACTGGGTCAAACTTAAAAGTACCCCGATATGCCTTCAGTTGTGATTCCACCCAAACCTTTTGTTTAGCTGTTTATATAGTTGTAATGAGACCCCATTTGTAATGGACTTTGGATCACACTGATGACCAAGTTTTATTATGATTATTGGAAATACTTTAATAGGAGATTGATTAAAATTAATAATTTTTGCCGGACAAATTGGACAATTAATTGCCTGCATAAAACAATTATCATATTGTGAGATTGATCTGAGGGGGAAAATCAGGCACTTTGGTTGCCAAAATTTGATCTCCCTGGTCCAAACAGCATAGGAAAAGCGCTAATTCTTTTATGAAATTTGTGCTAAAAATAAGGCGTCGAAAAGAATGAAGCATCATTTTAATGTTCCATGTTTAATAAACAAATGAATTAGAAGAAACAAAACTTGATGATTGCTGCATCTTTATCCTTCAAACTGATAGTTTAATACTCCAAGTTAGGGATGTCAACAAGTCAAGTCGAGCCGAGCCGAGCCCGAGCCTAAAACTTTCGGCTCGAGCTCGGCTCAGTTAAAATAATCCAGCTTTTCTACGAGCCCAACCTGAGCCGGCTTTTACTAGGCCAAAAAATTTCAGCTCGAGCTTTTTCGAGCCGGGTTGGCTCATTTTTTCTTTCTGGCTGCCTTGGCTCCTTTTTTTTTTTTTTTTTTTTCTTTTTCTCGCTACCTTTTTAAAGGCAGAATTTGTTGCCTTTTTTTTTTAAATTAAAGGCTCACAGGCCCACGAGTTGGGTCAGCTCGGGTTTTTCCCGAGTTGCGCCACGAGCTGCCCGAGCATCAAGCATTTTTGACACCCCTAGCTAAAGCAGCAAACCAAGACTGAAAAACATTAAAAGGCATTGTAAGAACGCAGATCATTTCCATTTGATTTCAGCTTCTAATAGTGGACTAAGCAAGCAAATTGAAAAAAGTAAAAGACAACTCTATGATGGTGTGACGAGAAATTTGAATTAGATAAGTTACTCCATCCAATTGCAAATCAGCTACATACACCTAAAAGGGTAGAAATTAAACCAGGCAATCATATTTTAATTAACTCTGGGTAAACATTAATGATAAAAGCTTATCTGAACAGATATCAGCAACAACACAAAGCTTGCCAATTTTAGCTATTCAACATTAAATATTCATAAACAAGTAACTTCAAATTGTAATAATTACATCTCCCAATACAAACATTCATAAACAAGTAACTTCAGGCACAGTCACAACATCTCCTACATTTTCGTTGTCCAATATATTCAAATTCTCTGTGATGTTCTCGTTATCAAATTCCAGCAACAAATCATTATTTCCATTCTCCATAATTTCCTTTCCTGCCACAAAATTTATCATTATATATCACAAGTGAAGATGATGATTAAAAAAAAAAACAAAAAAAGCAAATTATAACTGGCCCACATAATCTACCTGAACTCAAAAATAGTTTCTAAATGAAAATGGTAATTATAACCGACCCACATAATCTACAACCTTAAAAAGCTAATTAGAGGTTTAGATGGAAACTCCAGTGAAAATAAATTCAAGAAACCTAGAATTTTATAGCACCAAATACCTAAAATGTTGGGGCGCAGAAGCTCCAGTAACACATGTTGATTACAAACTGAATTTTAAAGAAATTAATTATATGACACTATTGAAGTATACTAGATTACACACCAAAAAACACAAGATTTAATTTGTATAGAAAGAACATAAAGAGTAAACACAGAGGAAAAATAATTATTAATTCAACAGTATGAAGAATACAAGACATACTAGCAATACTGCTTCTATGTTACTTTACCTAAACTAACAAAGGAGCCTAATATTTATACTACACGGCCAAACCCTAAATAGAGTCCCAAAAGATAAGAAATTAGGTTACAATTAGGAATTTGATTTCCTTTCCAACTCTACTCAAATTATGCTTCTTCAATCTCCTAATTTGAGTCACATTCTTAACAATCTCTACCTTAACTCAAATTTTGGTGCAATGAAAGAAACTCCTAGATTTCAAATCCGTCTGCAACGAAATGAACTGGCGACAGATAACACTACAGTTAGTCACTTCATTTTCCAACCAAAACTATCGCAAGTAGGCTCGTTGATAGGAATTTCTTTCAGAGTTTAATGTTATGTTAGAGTATCGTCCTGGATCTAGTAATCATGTTGCTGATGCTCTTAGTCGATGAGCCGATTTGGCTGAATTTCCTCAACACAGTAATCACTCCATATAAACCAAGCACTCGTCCTCTGCTCAGCGTCCACAACCAACACACGAACCCAACCCCAAGGTTCTCAATTCTACCAAGGAATTAATATTGATCACACAGGGTTGAAGCACACCCTGTAGCAAGAACCAGATCAAATGCTTGATCAGAAGGCCCATTGTTGGAACTATTACCTTCAACATCCCCAGAAGCATCGCATACATTGCTGACACCACGGTACATACGCTTGATGAGCCCTACCCTAGCAAATGAACACAGTGTACCCGTTGAAATTTGTGGTAAAGCGGGATTACCAACGCTTTCTCTGGCAATGTTTTGAATTGACTCAAAGCCCAAACCATAAGGTATTATACCAAACTGAACTTCCACCACGATACTAAACTTATCTAAATGTCTTCTAATAGGTTCTGTACTCCCCTGCAAAACGTACAACTGGAATCTTTTCTGTCCCTCCAGTACAACCCAAATTCCCTTTCAGACCTTCAAGACTTCACCTCTTCTAGAGAATTTATACCCATTTGCATTCAAGGTACATAGCGAAATGAGATTCCTTTTCAGGTTAGGAACATGTCGAACCTAATCAATTGTTCTAATGTTCCATCCCGCAACCTAAATCTGACTCGACCTATCCTAGCAATACAACAAGATTGATAGTTTCCCATTATAACTCTACCTTGCTGAACAACCTCATATATCTTAAATAAATTCCTATAAGAACACATATGGTATAAACATGCTGAATTAAGAATCCACTCATCGTCAGGCCTAGACTCCATATCAAATACAACGGTCAACATAACCTCTTCGCCATCTGAACAATTTTCAACTACATTGGTTTCCTCTAAATTCAAAGGTTGCACCCCACGATTTGCAGCTAAATCACCTTTAGCCAGCAACATATTGCAATCCTTCCAAATATGTCCCTTCCTTTTGCAATAGTAATAAGTCACGTTGCTAAATCTGCCTCTTCGTCGACCACCTTGAGATACAAAAGCTTCCCTATCCTTTGATATAGTTCCAACCAAATGCTTTATCTTCTCTTTTAAGTGCAAAGCATCATAGACATATTCTATAGTCAAAGTATCTTGACCATACAAGATAATATCCCGAAACGACGCATAAGACCCAGACAGCGAACACAACAGAATCAAGACAAGATCCTCTTCATTGTACTTAAACTCCAACGTTTCTAGATTTGCAACTATTTCCTTGAACACGATAACATGGTCTTCTAATGACTCTCCTTTTGCCATGCGATGTGAATACAACTTCTGCTTAAAAGTCAGTTTACTTGTAAAATTCTTAGTCGTACACAATTGCTCCAACCTTAACCACAAAGCAGCCGTCGTTTTCTCCTTCAAGACATCCTGCAAATTGTTGTTAGACAGATGAAGATGAATCAATGACATAGCCTTCCGATCCTTCCATTGTTTCTCCTCTGTTGTCCGTCCAACTGGCATTCTCTCAAAACCTAACAACGCATCTTCCAAATCCAACTGCAACAGAACATTCCTCATCTTTACTTGCCATAACGAGAACATTGTATTGCAATCTAATTACGGAATATCATACTTCAACCCAGCCATCTCGAAAAAAGTCTCAACCAATCCACAAAAAATCAACAATATAGCTCTGATACCACTTGTTGGGGGCACGGAAGCTCCAATAACATACGTTGATTCCAAACCAAATTTTGAAGAACTAGATTATATGACAATACTGAAGTATACTAGATCACACACCGAAAAACGCAAGATTTAATTTGTAAAAGAATAACACAAAGGGTAAACGCAGAGGAAAGATGTTTATTAATTCAATAGTATGGAGAATACAAGACAGACTAGCAATACTGCTTTTATGTTACTTTACCTAAACTAACAAAGGAGCCTAATATTTATACTACAGAGCCAAACCCTAAGTAGAGTTCCAAAAGGTAAGAAATTAGGTTACAATTAGGAATTTGATCTCCTTTTCAACTCTAGTCAAATTATACTTCTTCAATCTTCTAATTTGAGTCACATTCCTAACGTAAAATGCATTGGAATAAAAGCTTAAAAATTTGAACGGTGGTTTAATTGGGTCGGTCGAAAATCTTCACTAGAAAAAAAAAACATAGTAAAACTGGGTTTTACATCGTTCTTTTCATGTTCTTCGACCTTAAAGAGCTTATCAGAAGTTTAGGTGGAAACTCAAATGCAAAAAAATTAAAGAAACCTAGAATTTCGAGCAACCAAATAGCTAAAATGCATAAAAATAAAGCTTAAAAATCTAACTTGAGGTCTTATTGGGTAGTCGGCACTTCGTTGGCCGGAGATGTAGCATAGATAGCGACAGGATGCTAGCAGGAGATGTGGAGATCAAGGATGGCGGATTTCTCTATTTTGGCGTTTGGAGAAATGGCACTCTTCTTCCTTCCCACTTTTCTTTAGCCCAAGTAATTCATTTCCCTTTCATTTATTATTTCTTTAAGTTCTTTAAATGGGCCAGCCACGTTATTTTTTTTTTGAATTCCTGTAACACATCTATTTTATTTATGATTTTTTTTTTCCATTTATGATACTATACCAAAATTATGGAAATCTAAGTAATATGTTGTCCTTTTATCACAACATAGAGGGAGAATGAATTGTTTACTTGATTTGAATTAAAATAATCATTATTTTCGATTTACACAATTCAGACAGTCCACAAGTTCATGGTCACAAATCTAAACTATATAACGGATAACAACTCATACAAGCCAAAATTGTATGTTGCAAAACTATCAAATGTCACTACATTCACATTTGACAATCATTTATGTTTACACGAACAATTTTCACATGCGTTTATCTCAAATTTATGCTATAGCAGTAATTAGAGTCCCAATTATTTGTCATATCTCAATTTCATGCAGTATGAATTGCTCACTATTATTCGAAATAGAATAAGTCAGAACTACAAATACTTTTTGTTAAATACCACATCTAAGATCACAATGATGAGATATGATCATATGGTAGGAGTCACATGCCCTACACTAGAAGTCACAACATACTCCAACATTTCTTCTAGCTAGTGTAATGTCTAACCATAATCTACAAAGGTTTCAATTGTAGATGTCATCAACCATTTTCTTAAAAGAGAAAATAACTTATTTTTTATACTGTAGAGACACCTAAAAGAAAGAAACTATTTTCATGTATTCACCAATTAATTCTCATGTAGTAGATGTTATAGTAACAAAACAGGCTCTGGTGCAAGAGAGAACCTGTCTTCGTGCTAAAGAATAGAGAGAGAGAGAGAGAGAGAGAGAGAGAGAGAGAGAGAGAGAGAGAGAGAGAGAGAGAGAGAGAGAGTATTTAGAGAGAGAGAGAGAGAGAGAGAGAGAGAGAGAGAGAGTATGAATGTAAACAAGAAATTAGGTGATTCTCAAGTTTCGTACATCCATGTTGTACAAAGATTCAATTTCATCCTTAATTTAGATATCATGTTCAATTCCATCCTAAATCTCTCAACCGATCTATTTGTTCATTTCACATAAAGTAATCATGAATGATTAATTATTTAAATTTGTGATATAATTGTTAAATAGTTATGAAAACAAAGTATTTTAATTTTTTAAATAGGCATTAATTGAAATAAATTGAAAGTATATAAGTAATTAACATCAAATTAATTGTGTCAGTACTAAAAATTAAGAACTTACGTTAAAAGAATAAGATATGCTCATTCATTTTTATTTTTTTTATGTTAATAGTGTGAATATTAAAATGAATCAACTTGATTAAAAGTTTGTGGTTTGGAGTATGTGTTTATGATAACAATTGTTTGGTAACCATCTAAAGCAAACAAAGTATTTTAGAATAACTAAATTGTCATCTCATAAATACAACTTCTTTTTGACAAATACGCCTTCAAATTAGTTGACATTATAATGTTATATTCTTTTTTCTTTTTTCTTTTTTGCTTGTCACATGTTTAAATTTTAGTATAAGAGTTCAATTTGTTTAAGAATATTTATACTTATAAAAGTAACATGGATAAGTTAAATCCCCACTATGAAATAACTAAAGGCATGTAAATGCAACCAATGCTTGCACTCAAGAATGCATTTGGACTACGCGAAGGACATATGGGTGTAACATGCAAATGCGTCTAAAGTTAAAACTAGCTAACGGTGCATGCACTCGACCTATATACTAGGTAAACTTTGAAGAGATTTGCATAAGATTTTAGAAACATAGAGGAAACTTTGTTAAAGTATTCTAAAATAAAGAAGACAAATTAAGACATTTATAACTAGAAGTTTCGTTTCAGAAGATATAGGAAACTTGTAATAGTAAAATAAAAGTTTGTAGAAACATATGTACAAAAAATAATCAAGAAAAAAATATGAACTACAAAAATATAATCAATCCCCATCATCCATTTAAAGAAAGTGAAACTATAAAGGTCAAATAAGCCTCATTTGTAACCAACTAAATGAAAAGAATGATGAGAGTAAGATATTGAAAAATAAGAGTTTTTAAAAGTGGGAGTCGCTATTTACATCCACCGCTTTAAATTTACAACTTTTAGTTTTGATTTTAGTTGAAAATGATATATGTGTATATATATATATATATATATATATATATATATATATATATATATATCATTTTCAACTAAAATCAAAACTAAAAATTGTAAATTCAAACATTAGAAAGCACCTACTCAATCTAGCCACTTGAACTTTAAAAACACCCGCAAATGGAGGCTTAAACCTCATTGCAAGAAACTTTTCTGGATTTCATTTTTTCTGCTTTTTTTTTTTCGCTTTCAAGAATCCACCGTGCGTGTATTAATGCTGATTGTTTGGTGATTTTTTTCTACCTTTAGCAATTAAATTTTATGGTCTTGTTCTATACGCCAAACTTTTCACATCCTACTGTCCGTTTTCTCTATAATATGCCCCATGATACATGAATGCTGATTGTTTGGTGATTTTCTTCCACCTTTTAACACTTAATTTTTTAATGGACTTTTTCTATATATCAGACTTTTTACATCCTTCTTGTCGCTTTTCTCTATAATATGCCCCATGATGATACGTGAAATATGAAGACTTATTCTGATAAATTCTTAAACTAAATGTAAATTTTTGAGTTTCTTGATTCTTAAATGGTTCTATGATTATTCATTTTCATGTTATGCAATTCACATGTATTCTTGAATTTATAAAAACCTTTGGTTTGGATTCTTAGTAGTTCATATTTGCAGCCAAAGACAAACATGCAACTAATAATAAGTGATCTCAAAGACAAATATCTAAATCTAAAAAGAAGAAAAGTAGTTAACGATAAAGAAATTAATTTAAAATACGAAACACTTGCATCAATAGATCTTGTTGAAAAGAACTCATCAAAGCAAATTAATAAGAGAAGCTATACGAAATTGAAATCCAAAAAAGGCTCTCATTTGTATGTGGATACACAAATTTTTAATAGGCAAGAAAATATTCATATCCAGCAATATTAAAAAAAAATGAAGAAGAAAAGGAAAGAAGAAGAAAGGGAAAGAAAAGAAAGAAGATTGGGAACAAACATTGATAATCTATTTGATGGCATCTAACTGGTGCAGCTACTTTAAATGAGCAATTGCTTTTAGTTTGAAAAGTGACAGCCTCTTTTTTTATTAACATTTGTGAAAATTACACCACATACATTTTTTTATTAAAATGTAGCTCACTTTCATAATTTAACTCCTTATTTCATGACTACTAGAATAAAATTGTAAAAATGATAAACCATAAATCATATCATTCCAATACTAAAAACATTAAAGCATTATCCCTCTCCTACCTAATCAATTAAATCACAACAATCATTCTCAAAATCACTCCATTTCATTGCTTATCGATCCAAATCTCTTTCATTTATCATTATTCTAATGATTTCGTGTTATCCTACCCTACTTTCAATTGTAGCACATAAAGCTTTTAAAATTAGCTACTCTCTAGTGGGAAGCACAAAATATCAATGGCCCTGTTGCGAAAATCTCTCGAGAAATCTTGATTTCGGACTCAGAAAACAACCACACAAACACTGGTTTACCTTAGCTCGACCCAAACCTTTTCTTGACTTTTGGTGCCCCCTTTCAACATCCACAAAGGATAGAACTATAGTGATTAATGTGGATCCACAAATGAAGGAGGGAATAGAAGAAGCAATGGTTGAACTCACAACCTCCCATGGTCGGCTATCTCATGTTTTCTCTCCATTGCACACATTAACACATGCACACACATGGTTTGAGGGGGTGGATAAATAGCATAGTATTAGGTTACCAATAATTGGGCTTAACCCTCCTCAATGAGCCAAGACCAAGTTCACACTTACTACTAAATGGTCCAACTAACCAAAAATACATCCAACCCAAAATTGGGCCTTCCAAAAGTGTCAGCCATATTCGAGTCGAGCAAAGTTCATGGTGTCGATAAATTATCCGACAACTATTTTAAATCATCACCCGGATTTATTGGGTATCAAAAAACCCAACAACCCCAACTAGCCATGCTTCATTGTCCAACAAGAAGAAACAATTGCTAACTCAAAACATTGATTCTTTAGAGATATTGCACAAAAAATATTACTTTGACACCCATTCACAAATGACACGATCCACGACTAAAAACCCATTACTTGCTATCGTTACAAGGATCGATGATACTTCAACTCGGCAACATCGGCTTAATCATTTAGACTTGGTAAAGAATCCAAATAGAAAAACAGTGGAAAGAGGTTTATAAAGTTTTAATTTCAAGTCAAGTTCAAAGAAGAAAAAAAAAACAATTGATATGTTGAGGCTTAGTTTGGAAGAACTTTTCACCATTGGAGAACCCTCACCCTCCCTTCACAATTATACTTGTAAGTTCTGGTCAATGTAGTTGTAACAATTAGTAACCATCACACACCCTTTTGGATGCAGGACAATCTAGAAAGGGTAACTTTCATTAGAAGATCGAATTCAAAATATAGAAAGCTAATGCATAATTTGGGGGGAAAATAGCACTTTCCGAAATTCTGGTCCAAAAGGAAATAGTGAAGTAAAAGCTAATAAGAGAATTGGGATCTCAAAGGAACACACAAGTTTCTCCAACTTCAGAAATGTAATTTGACCTGGTTTTCTCCTTCAAAAAATTGGCGTACCAGCACACAGAAAGCTTTCCATTTAGTTGTTTCAATTACGAGGGCAACTATTGTAGTCCAACAATTCTTCTTGAAAAGGATCAATTATTGTGAAGAACTACATTAGACCGATATTTTCACTTTAGCAAGTGAGTGACCGATATTTTCGGTTTTAGTAGGAAAGTGGGTTCGCCGCAAACTTGTGTGCCAACACAGTACCGAATGGGTAAGATTTCAATTCTAACAAAATAGATACACAAGTCGAGTTCCTCG